ACCAGATGAAAAAATAGAAGTAGAATTTCCAGAATTAAATGTTGTTGAAGAGAATGGTAGGTGTTACTTTTGGAACGATTCAACCTATAAATTTTGATTCAGCAAGAGAAAGACTGTAAAAAATACAATGAGTGGATAAGAATATTAAAGAATATGGAAGATGAAATGAATATTAATAACCTTGAAGATGGAAATAATTGGGATCAAGTGATACAACATTTTGATTGGAGTATATTACCAAATAATTATCAACAGATGACTCAATTATACTATATGATATTGTATTATAAAAAAATGTTAAAAAGAGTTCCTGCAAATCCACAAACAACTTATCAATATATTCAAAATATATTAATAATCAATGAGATTAAACCATATAAAAAAGAAGAAGATATAATAGTAAGAGATTAAATCATGTTAGATGGATGTTTCAACAAATACATGCTAGTTTTGCTGCGATTAAAATAGTTGATGATGCAAAAAACTTATATGATAGATGGAATGTTTACATTTTAGCTAATATAGGTGATGATAATTATTTTCAGTATAAAAGTAAAACAGAAGAATATTTAGCAATGATATTTGCAGAATGGATTAAAATTAATGTAGTGTCAGGAATAAATTTACCACCTGATATTCTAGATGCAATTGCTGGAGCTCGTAGAAAATAAGAAGAAAATAGTGATGATGATTCTAGAAGAAGTAAAGCTAAAGGAAGAATTTCATAAATAGTATAAATAGTTTCATTATTCATTTTCTTTTTTTTTAATAGAAGCTTCTTTTTTATGGAAGATTATATTTTTATTAGTTAGCATTTTTTTATTTTTATCAATAGTAATTGAAACATCAATTATATATTCTATATATCAACCAAATTATAATTTATTTTTCGATTCTATTATTACATTGGTTCATCAAATTTTAAAGGAAATAATAAAAACAATTGAAAACATTTAATCAAACTGGCAAAAAGAAAGAAATCTAAAGAATCTTCTAAACCAAAAGAGAAAAAAATACCAAATAAAACAAAATCGAACCAAAAAGAAAAAGTTCAATCAAAAAAATCATCTAAAAAAACAATATCTAAAGTTATATCAAAAACAAATTATATTAGTTGTGGATGTAAATATCAGATAATATGACAATAACAAAAAAAAGAAGAATATGTTCGGTAGGAACATGTGGAAGTATTATTGATTATAACGCTTGTGGAAATAGTAGACCATCTGGTTCATTAATTGATAAAATTGATTTTATTGATAGAGGATTTATTGCTCTCAATAAAAGATTTTATGTATATCAGTTGTTACAACAAGAGAAAATGTTTAAATCTTTAAATTTATTAGATTTTTCTTTATATTTGAAACTTGTTTCTTATCATCTACTTAATTTAGATTCAACTTATCAACTTTCAAATAATATAAATTTAACAAAATTATTGTCACCCTTTAAGATTGATC